GTGAAAAAACAGAATCAGTGCTTCCAAGTAGTGCTTATCTCTTACATCCCATCACACACACACCAAATGCCTTTTGTGGAAGTGCAGACAGTTACAGGAACCACCTGTTGGTAGGCAGCCAGCAAGCCATAAGCTCTACTTGCTAAATTATTTTATGTCATCATGCTATTAAGAGAATATTACTGCTACAAAAGTCACAGCAAGCCTTCATGAGATTTGCCAAGACTCTGCTGCTTTCCTTGCAGTCACATAAATTTGTTTGCTGCTGACATACGTGATCTCCAAGATTTATTAAGCAGACTGCAGCTGCCTGTCCTGCTACCAAAGCAGCTGTGACTCCTGCAGTCATTTCATGTCTATTTTCTGTTCATCCGTCCGTAAGTCAGATATTGTCTTTTTTTTTTTTAATCTTCCATCTGAATGAACATTTTTAACAGCTTTCCAAGAAATTCAGCCAAGTGAAAGGCCAACAGCAATTATTAGATCAGCAATACTCAGCAAACAGTTTCAAATACTGTACAAGCAATGAGAAAAACCACGACAGACCTTGTTGTTTTGGAAGGCTGAGCACAGAATTTCTTGCTGTGGGGATTTCTCTGGCAACAGAGGCACGTTACTTACTTCTTCTTGGGCAAACACTTCCCTGGAGGTTGTGGGATGAGACAGAGTGGGAGGAGTGGCCTGATGGAGAAAAACAGGCTCAGGAGAATGAGGTTCTGCGGGCTTCTCTTCCTGCAAAGACTCTGCTTTCCACAGCTCTCCCTGTGAACTCTGCAGTTCTGTGTTCTCATGAGGAGGTGAATTTGCAGCCTTTGTGTGCTGAAGATGATCATAAACCGCAGGCTCCACAGGCAGGTCGGGTGGCTTTCGAGTCTGAGATGTTGAAAGAGAGGCGACATTGTACTAAAAGCAGTCCTTACATTCACAGCTGTGACAGTAAACAATATTCTGCCTCTTTCAAATGAACGTCAGTGCCTTGTGAATCTGTATGTGCAGCTCTAGAATAACATTTAGGAATTTAGATGTTATTTGCTTTAAATTCTAATGTAATTTACTGAGAATTAATCACGTTCATAACGTTTGAGTCTCTGGTTGGGAAAACCCACAGTCCAAAGAAAAAGCCTCTCTGGTAACCACTCTCATCCCCTGCATTTATGCTGGTCGCTCAGCCCTTTCTATTTACAGAACTCATGTGACACAGCCTCCCAAACCAGGAACTGCACCCACCATCAGCTCTGCATCCAGCAGGTTGTGGAGCTGCAGCTGCTGATACACTTTCAGGCGGTACGCATCCATCTGCTGCTTTTTCTTCTTAGCAAGATCGTAATCCTCCTTCTCTACAGCGTAGCGTTTCTCCACTTCGTACCGTCCCAGTCTCTCTCCTACCTGGAAAACATTTCAGCTACTTACCTTGGGATCCCATCATTAGAAATACACACGTACGTGACTTCCAAGCAAAAGATTAAGCCAGCTGAATTTAAAATGACTGTTTTTACAACACACTGGGAGTTGTTATGCTTCCACGTTAATGCTAAGATCCTTGATGGATCACCAGAGCACCTGGTGGCTTCAGAGACGAGCAGCTTTGAGCAGTACCTTCTGCAAGTCTGCAATGGCTTGTTTGAGTTTCTTGGCGTAGTCGTAGCGCTCCTGACGGACGGCGTCGTGCTTCTTCTCATCCAGCCTGCGTATTATCTGGGCAACTTCTGGATCCTGGTACATGTCAAAAGCCAAATCATCCAGAGGTGAGATGGAGTCCGACTTCCTGAAGATACAGGACAAGAGAAATCAATAACTGTGGGTATCGGTTTTCTTTTCACAGGCAGAGAGGTAACGGAATACAGAGACTGAGAACTAATGGAGACCAGAAAGATGTTTGGCAGGGTATATGCAAAAGAATATCTTTACCCTAGGTATGTTCCATCTAAGGCAGGATCATCTGATTTAATTCCTAAGTAGTGGTCAATCAGCTTCTCTCTGGAAGGCTTTGTGGGGAAAAGAAAGATCTTAATGCACATTCATCAACAACATGGGTGTTCAGGATAGAAATTCTGACATTGTAATTGTGAGAACTTTAAGGGTGCAAATGCAAACGTTCCAATTGATTGTTTTCATTTTCGCATACACAACTTAGGCTCAATTTCTGAGATCTCCCTTCCTTCAAAGTTAGATCAAAATCGATGCACAGCACCTCTGCTGAAGGATGAAACTACCCGAAGATGCATTCATTATCTCAAGAACCCTGCAGCTCAACATGTGCAGCAACAGTAAAAGCACAGGGGTGCTCTGCCCTTACCTGTTTATTGCTGTCATTCCCGTAGTCTGCTGGATCTCCAATAATATTTATAGCTACCAGGGCAACCTGAGAGAGATTGAAAGAAAAAGTGAAAGCACAAGGTCGTTATTTTGTTCTTATCTCAGACAAATTGAAAAGCATGTTTAAGCACACACAGCCAGTCAGTTGCTGACACTTTGTGCTGATTCACCCTCCAAATCTGAAAAATCAAGTAGTGATTTACTCCAACTCATCTCTCTCCTCCTGTTCCTTGCTTTTACTCAAATGTAGGAAAATGTACAACTTCAATACTGTCTACAAACTACCTTGTCTTCAGCACAGAGCCTGCTATGCAGGCTAAAACTCAAAACAAAAGGCAGTGATGGAACGTGCACTGAGCTCACCTGCTCTGCATAAGCTGCATTTGGTCACGAGTGAAAATGAACTCAGGAGCTTCCATCAGCATTTCAGCTTCTACAGGTGCAGGGGGCAGATTTCTGTGCCCACTCTGTGCTACTGAAACTCCATCTAGCTTACAAAGTAAGGAGCACAACTCAACTTACCTGACTGTACAAGTTGTATTTATTGTCATAATTTTTATGGAAAATCAGCTTCAGGTACTGGCCAACTGCATCCATATACACAGATTTTAACTCTCGAGCTTTGAAACCTGTCTTCTCATTGTCTGAGAGAGGGACATAACTGAGAAGGAAAACGTAGCAGTAAGCAGAGGAAAACACAAACACACAGCTGTGCTTTGGCTCCTCAACTAAGCATTTTGATCAGGTTTAAAACTCACTCATCAACCAAACAGCACGCTGTCATTTACACCAGTGTTCACCTGCATCATGCCTCTCACAGCAACCACACAAACCTCACCGGCTCGTTAAGGCCCCACTGCTTTAAGTGGGATTGATTTTAACCCACTGTTTGTAACATGGCTGGATCAGCCCCAGTATCCCCAGATTGCTTTTTATTTCCTTCTGAGGCCTTGATTAAGGTAATACAACAATTCAGAGCTGTCAGACTCACCCTAGTCTGTGAAACCTCTCTGACTGATAAGGAGCAAAGTATTCAGGCAAGCTTTCACTGATGAAGAACTCAATTTTGCTTGATATCATGTACTGGTGAGCAAGCAGCTGCAGTTTTCGTATTCGACATCTCTCCACCAACTGCAGAACGATTTCTTGTGGGTACTGACAGAGTCTGCAAATGTGCACAATGTTGAGCCATCTTTTTAAAGATCACTTCACTGCCACCTTGAATAACATTTAATCATGAAACTTTCCAAAGTTGTTACAGTTTGCCATCGTTACAAATATTGCAAAAAAAATAAAAAAGAGTAGAAACATTTTTCACTTTAATGCATGTGTGTGTCTGTTAATGTGCACTGCTGTGGTGGTTTAACATGGCAGCATATCAGTCACTATGAAGGAAAAGGACTGTTCCAGCTGAAACTAAGACAACTACATACATCCAGAAGATGTATTGTGAAGATTGTAGTTTTAATACCAAGTCAACGCGGTCACAAACTCTAAGATGACCTTTTGTTGTAACCAAGGCTTTTTTTTCCCCTGCAGAACAAGCATTCCACAGGGTTAAAGTAACTCAGAAGCTTTTGTTTTATAACCAATTTGGTCTAGCATTAAACTAGTCTGAGCACGCATGCTGCATCTCCCACTCACTGCACACTCAGTGCTGGAGAATTAAGCACGTCCCTCTCCCTTGCAGTACCTCGGTGACCGCCATCCATTCACTGTTGGTGCGTGGACCATCAGCTCCTTTGCACTGAAGCCATCTTCGTGCCCCGATGAGCTAACGACTACAAAGCCAATCTTGTGCGGCATCCTGCAGAGGCGAGCTATTCAAAACAACCACGTTTCAAACTTAAGCTAATCCCTAGGAAGGCAATAAAACAACACTGAACCAGCGCAGTCCAAGAATTCCGTACTGTGGTCCATTAAGCCAGCAGCTGATGACTGTAAATCTGAATTTATTGAATGCCAGCTCCATAAAATGAGCCATGTTCTTATGCTGAGTGTTTTAGCAGGACTTGGTGAAGCGAGGGCTCGGTTAACTTGTACAGCTAGTTAAACCATCAGACTGTGCAAAAAGCAGAGCCCTTGTGGGCTCCTTCCAAGTACCGGAAGGCTAAATATAACAATCCAAGACAAAACTCAAACTGTGATGAGCCTAGAAGCTTCTTCTTGCCCCACATGTCCGGATGCAGGACCTTCAGAGCAGCGTGACATCCCGCCCCGTGTGTTTGACAGGGAATAATAATAACAAGAGGACAGAATCGACCCAGGCAGAAGTCACCCAGCAGCATTTCACAGCCATGCAAGTCTACAGACACACAGACAGACAAACACACAGGCACACAGGCACACACACCCCTGGACGGCGCTGTGAGGAATCTCTTCCCGCCCTTCCCTCAGCACGGAGGGCAGCGCCCCACAGGCCGCAGCTCGGGAAACGGCCCTTACCGAGCCGTTCTACGGCCCGAGCCGCCACGTAGGGGCCCTGAATGCCGGGACGGCTTGGCACAGCCCTTCGAGGGGAGATCCGCGGGCGGAGGGAAGCAGAAAGGATCGAGCCAGGCCCACACAGCAACGCACTCACCTCAGCGCGGCTCCATCGCTCGTCACCGTAGCAACGGCGCGGGCGCCGCCACGCATGCGCAGCCCCCAACGCGGGCCGCAGCGACGCGCATGCGCATGGCGGCAGGCGGGGAAGTGGCGGGCGCAGCGATGGCGGCTCCTCTCAGGCCATTCCGCCTCCGCCGCCCCGGCAGCGCGCAGAAATTCGGGGCGGCGGCGGGGAGCCTGCGTGGGCTGCTGCGAAAGGGCTGCCGGCTGCTGCAGGTGCGGATCGGGGGTCGGGGGTCGGGGGTCTCGGTCCCGCGGGTCTCAGACCCGAATGACCGCCCCGGCAGCTCCCGTTGGCAGGCAGCCGGCTGTGCCTCTACGAGGACGGGACGGAGCTGAGCGAGGCGTTCTTCCGCACGCTGCCGCCGCAGACGGAGCTGGTGCTGCTGCGGCCCGGGGAGAGCTGGCCGGGCTGTGAGTGCGGGGCGGGGCGGGGAGCTGCGGGCTGAAGGGCGATCCGTGTGCGGCTGCTGACGGGCGCTCCGCCCGCAGGTTGCGGGGATCTGGAGCGGTTCCTGGCCGCCCTGTGCTGCCGGACGGACGCGGTGCTGGAGGCCGCTCGGAGGCTGCTGGAGGACGAGCGGGCGCCCCGCAGGCAGAGGCTGCTGGCGGATCTGATCCACAACCTGAGCGGGGACGGCGCGGCTGAGCGCCGGGACGAGGACGGGAAGTGGTTCGAGGGTACGCGATTCCTCGTGCTCCCATGGAGCTCCGGCAGTGCCGGCTGGTGCCCGGTGCCTTGTGCTGATAAGAGCCCGGCCCTGCCTTCCTTCCCTGATTTGCTGATATATCGATAAGCATCGCTCAGATCCGCTCTTGCCCTTCTCTTCCCCGGGCTGAGCCCCGTGGTTCTCCCTGATGCTCCGGACCCCGCATCTCTGCAGCCCTCTGCTGGGCGTCCCAGAGATCCCAGTCAGGCTTGAACAGAGGAGCCCAGAACCCTGTGGAACGGCGTTCCACATACAAAGAGCACAATAATGCTATTCGATAGAGCAAATTCTCAGTTACAAAACACTGCTTTTCTATGCAGTCACCACCATTAGCTGTGCATTCTCACCAGTGATGAACAACAGCCTGTATGTAGCAGCTGACACAGCCCTGCTGTCAAAGTAGATGGGCTGTGTGGTTCTGTTAAGCCCTGACAGCAGGCTTGAACCAGTGAAAGAAAAAAGCCTGTATACTGAGTTTGTGAAAAGAAGGCACAAGGACACATCTAAGCAGATGCACAGAACTAGAAGCACTGTACTAAATTCATCTGGTTCTCTTTAGGTCTAGAATCTCGTTTTAAGAACAAATCAAGCTACATGCGGTACAGCTGTGAAAGCAGAATACGAAGCTACATGAAAGAGGTAAAAGTGTGACTGCATGTTAAGTACACACATGTATATATAAGTACCTTTGTAGTCCAGCACAGCACTTGTAGAAGAGACACAAGCTGCTCCAGATGCCAAGGAAGGACTGTACTTCTTTTTTTTTTTTTTTCAGGTTAGTAATTTTATTTCAAACGTTCATCCTACAGCAAGAGATGCATATAAAAGGATACTCGACCTGATGTCGGATAAACTGAAATCTGTGAAATATAATGGCAGCTACTTCGACAGGACAGAGGAGGAGGCAGCGATGCGCCTGTGCACAAAGGAGGGATGGTTCTCTTGCCAGGTAGGTTCAGCCCTGCTTCAAAGCAGTCTCTGGTTCTAAGAAGCAGTAGTGACAACTTCAGAGGAAGGAGACGGTGACTTCAGTGCTTGCATAGAGAAGTGCTGAGTTTTGGCAGTGTTTTCACCTGTGTGTGGTTGTGGTGAGAGGAAGCTGCATCAGTTCATGACTGGGATGAGCCGGGATGATGAGCAGCCATCTTGTTTTACAGGGCCCTTTTGACAGAGATGACTGCCCATGTAAGCATTCTATCAACCCCTATACTAACAGGGAAAGCAGAATCCTCTTCAGCACCTGGAATCTCGATCACATGTATGTATAAAGCATCAATCCAAATTCACCTGTTCAGATTTTGCCTGTATGGGAATTCACCCTGCTTACCACATTATCCTTTATGAAACATATCCTCTCTACTTTCTCTTTCTGGCAGAAACCTTCACACCTCTTTCCAGGCATTGTGTATTTCTGAAGCAAAGGGAATTTGCTAAATTGATTTCTTCATAAAAACACTTCAAACCTAGTTGTAGTAAAATAATGCAACTTCTGCCGTGCTTTAGAAGGAAGATGGAGACATACTGTTAAGGAAACAGATTTTGCTAGCAATATTGTTTTCTCTTTTGCATTCTGCAGAATAGAAAAGAAACGTAGTGTTGTCCCAGAACTGGCAGAAGCTGTCAAAACACGAGATGGAAGAGAAGTGAACTGGGAGTACTTTTATCAGCTATTGTTTACAGTGCATAATCTAAAACTCGTACATATTGCTTGCCATAAGAAAACCAATCACAATCTCAGCTGTGACAAAACTAAAATTTACAGAAAAAGGAAGCAAACCCATGAGATTGCATAGCGCTCCCTTTGGAAGCAACTTCTGCTTTTGTTTTTTTCCATTTCAAAATCGTGTAAGATGGCAGCATGTTTAAGTCGCTCTTGTTTCTTAAACAAAACCTTACTTAGCAAGTCTCTTCTGCCAAGGACTTCTTCCTTTATCACCTCCAGTGCATTAATTGAACTGCAGTCTCGCAGAGCACGCGTTCAGACCGTGCCTGATTCTCCCACCTTAGGTGACACAGTGCTGAGTGTGATAAGCTGACTCACAGCCGCAGTGTGCAGAATAGAGGCCAGAAGCTGACACTGATGATACCTTATGATTTCCTGCTTGCTGTAGTAAATGTAGGTGCAAAATGCATGGTACAGAAACAACTTTCTTGCAAATGATTCAAAGCAGATTGATACTGCTCTGAATGTTAAGCCAAACAAAGAATACTTCAGGGTAATTATTCTGTGCCTTCACCAGGAAGACAGGCGCTGTACTGCAGACAGGCCAAATGATTCAGTGGCAGAGCTGCTGGCTTTTCTCTATGAAAATACCTGCACTCGTCTGTGACCATTCAATCCACTGTTGCATAGATGCAGGTCTTATAGGAGTAAGCAAGGCTGTGGTGCATCTCTGCTTTTATCACCCTTGTGCTCTGGCATCTTTCCCACTGATTTCCTTCGGTCTTTGCCTCTCTAGATTGAGCTTTCTTGAAGCAACACATACAATCTTATTATACAGTAATCATGTTTGTCTGCAGAAACTGCTTCTGTGAAACACTCTCTACCTCTCAGGTAACAAAATACAAGTAGATCATTTTTTACATTTTTTTTTTTTCCTAAATATCAGCTGATAGCAGCTGAACTCTCAGGGATGAGTATTTTTTAAATCAAAAAATAAAAGTAAAATCACTGCCATCTTTCTGTGTATCTGGAGGTAGAGGTGCATGAGTAGTCAACAGTAAGGTACAATACAGCATGGCTGCTGCAGACTAGAAGGACTTAGCACAGGAAAAGGTGCTTATCAATTAAGTAGTGGATGTTTACCAGACATAACATCATTCACCTCAAAGGAAAGTTCTGGGTGTTTACTTTGGTTGTTGGTTTTGGTTTTTTATTTCCATTTTCTTCCTCTCACCTCTTTCTTATCAGATAAATTCATCTATTTCAGACAGGGTTGTTATTAAGATAGTATTGCTGTGTGAGTCCTGACTTGTTGGGACTTGGAAATGCAGGAGTTTTGCTACAGCCAGTGCTAATTAAAGCAACAATTCAATTCCTTTCCCAAACATTTCTACATGAAAAATAAGCAGGTGCATTTTCAGTGAGGAGTTCCAGCACCATTGGATTGAGCCTTTCTGATCATCTCACTGAATATACATCAACTGTAACAGAGGTGAAAATGCACGTTCTGGTGTTTTGGTGTTGGGGAAGGGACTGCAATAAAGACTCTGACAAGAAGCACTGTGCTGTCAGCGTGGCACATTTCTTACAAACACCATTTTGCACTGTGTGTGAAGATACTGCCTAGGGGAAAAAAAATTAGTAAGATGGCATTTAAGGAAAGCTGGGAGAACTGCTTTTAGATGGAGTTGTGATGAAAACCACGAGCACACTAAAATATGAAGATTTTTTTTCAGTGTTACAGACTTAAGAGTAAAAAGGAGCCAAGAACTAGCACTGACAGAAACAATACATCAACTGGAGTGGGAATTTGAATAAATTAACATGTCATGCATATACGATTTGTTTGGCTTCAGATTTTTGAATGTTCAACACACTGTAGCTGTAGAAATTAATATTGATTTAAACCATCTGCTGATCATATTTTCTCTGCATTTTTAGAAACAGTTTCTTTATTTTTATAATAATAAATATCTGAGAGCTTCTTGCAGAATCACACTTTCAAAGTATTATCATGAATGCTGGATGAGTTAGCAATTCCTGGAATCATATGAGGTTGCTCATCATCATCTAAAAAATGCAGGCCAGAAATAACAGATTTGAAGGACTGACCCATATCTACTTGGCCACCAGCACTTGTTTGTCTACCAGTAAAGTCCTGCTGAGAGATTCTGTTCTGCCTTTATCACTGCCAATGTGTTTCTTTACAGAATTTCTGTTCATAACCTTTGGAAGTCATTTGAAAATAATGAACAATCTGCATTACAGAGCTGTCAAAAAGGCAGTGCTTACAGCTGATGTGGTGGAAGATGGAAGCTGTGAGCTTCACATGGTTGTTCAGAAAACAGAGGAGCAATAAAAAAAACACTACTTAATGTCTGGAGATTAAAAACACTGAATTCATAATCACATATGTGCAGAGTTTTGCCAGCAGAATTGCATTTTAAAGGCAAACAATGCAAGGCAACTTGCACAACAGAAGCTGGTGTCCCTCTTTGAAGTGAGCAAGTCAAGTGGCTGCATTACTAGCAAGATGCTGTAATGGCAGACATCCCAGAAAGAAAAGAACTGTCCCAAGATGATAATTTTTTAAAAATAAGTGAGAATAGGCCAAGTGTTTCCTGTAAATATGAGTTCAGACTTGTAACAGTAGGAGTTGATATTTTCCATGCTTTTTTATAGGTACTAGTGATTAATAATCAATTACAATTTATGTCCAATTCTCTGAGCATTCAGTCAAACTCTGCCCTAAAAAAAGTGTGGGGAATCCTGTATCTGACAACTCTGTAGAAGCAGACTCTACCCATTCTCTAAGAAAATGCAAACACTGACATCATGCTAGTGATACAGCCACTGGTAGAAAGACAAAGAAAACTGAAAACAAAGTTTCCTCTGTTTTACAGTTTGCTGCTAGAGAGCATCCTCGTCTTCCTCCTCATCTTCTTTGGCGATGAAATGCAGCCTTCTGTATTCCCTCCTGCTCATTGCTGTGCTCGGGAGTACAGCTGCCAGCTGATCCTAAAAGAAGAAATCATGAAGTGAAGTTGCTGCAAAAGGCAGGCCTCCCCATCTCCAGCAGTTCCCATCCTTCCCCACTCATACATGAGGCACTAACACACACATGCAAGTGGCATCTGAATAAACCCTTAGAGTGCAAAAGGGAGCCTGTCTGAACCAGCCGCTGCTCGTGGTCAAAGTGAGGGCTGCCATTCCCTCCGCAGTCTTGAAAAGGGTGCAGAGGAGATAAAAGTCCTCCACAAATGAATCCTCGCTGCTCCCACTAAACACAGCACTCATTAAACAGATAAAAGATGAAGGCATCACATGTCCAAATGTCCATAGTGTTAAAGGCAGACTCTCTCTTACCTGCGTAAAGTCAATGTTTCCAAAGAACTGATCCACTGGCATCGGCTGGTTACTGTCTTCATCCAAGAAAGCACTGTTATCCAGTTCTCTTAGTTTCTTAGGGATGTCTCCATCCTTCAAGTCGGTCCCTTCCAAAAGCAAGCTCTCACAGCTGCTCCCCTCCTCCCTGCAGGCACGATCTGGCAGATTCTCACTGCTTTCTGTTTTTGAGGAAGCTCTCCTTGATTTCGCTGCACGTGGCTTTGAAGAAACATCACGTTCCTTCCGTTTTTCTCCACCAGTCTCTGGGATGCTTTCACTTTTTTCCAGTTGAATTACCTGGTCATCTCCTGTACCTTCTGGAGTTGAGCCCTCAGCGGGTGCTTTAGGGGCAGGAGGGTTCTCAATCCCACACACACAACCTGCCAGTCCTGACTTCACCAGACTCGTTCTTTCGCATTTTAGCCTCTTGGAGGGCCGTTTGCCAGCTGCTTTGTGTGAACAAGTCTGTTAGGAAAAAAAAAAAAAAGCACAAAAGAAGCTCCTGAAGTTCAAAAGCACCTGAACACATCAGCAGCCGCTCGTGTGGGGTGGCCGGGCACGAAGCTCTGAGAGAAACCTCACCCAGCACAGCCACAGCGGGAAACACGAGTGGGAGAATAACGAGGTCTAAACAGAGCCTCGTACAGCTCACGGCCAGCAGAGCACAAAGCAGGGCAGGACGTGGCTGACCGCCATCCCCGTGCCATCCGCACGGCTTCCACATCCCGAGCGCTCTCCAGGCGCTCCCCGTCCCGTCCCGCGGCAGCAGCTCGATTCGGCCCTCACCTGCCGCCTCCTCCCGCCGCCGGCCCCGCTGGCCGCCTTCCCGCCCGCCGCCATCTTGGGGAGGGGCGGTGATGCCCGGCCTGGTCCGAGCGCCGCGCTGCGGGCCGCCCTTACCGACGGGAGGGGCGGGGAGAGGCCGCGGGCTGCCGGGTATCCGGGCCCGTCGGGACGTTGAGTCGCCTTTTGCTGAGGCAAAACGCAGCGCCCAGATTTTCTCCTGGAAAGGGACTAAAATAAATTTGCGTGCAAGCTGTGTGGGTGATAAACGCGTCAGGTCTTTAGCTTTCCAGCGCCTTCTTTCTGGAAGCTTTGGTTCTAAGATGTGCATTGGGAAGTCGTGATCCAGCCCTCGGGGAACGAATGGCGTCAGGAACGCAAATCCCTCCTTAACTTCAAGGGCTGTGAGGAGAGCCGGGAGTCTGATGAGCTCTGTGTGTCCTCATGGGAGGCGATGGCTGTGGGCCGCTCCAGCCAACAGCTCTGCCCATAGCACAAAACCACATCCCTGCTTTCTGTTAACTGCGTGCTTTCGGGACACGATGGGGATCTCTATCATTCTGGATGGATAACATGCTTCCTTGCTGCAGAGCCATGCTGAATTCTCAGCTTGGGGCTGCTACTTGTGCTCCTGCCCCAAGCCAGCACATAACATTCCCATCTGCGCATCCTGGCCTGAAAAAAACCACACGAGCAACAGTTTAAACCTCAGAGATGCGGCAGCAATATTCCTCTGAGGACATTCAGCTTTTTCTCAGCACTGCAACGCCTGCAGAGGTTGGAGAACAGGCCTGGTGCGTTGTTGTGCAGCTTTGCTCAGTGCTCAGGGGTCTTCTGCGCTTTGTTCTGTGGCTGAGATGATTCATATTCTCCTCCAAAGCACCAAAACTTGCTCCACTGTCAGTGTTGTTGCTCGCAGCCAAGGAATACAGATGATTGTTTTTATTATACAGTGAAAACTTATACTGCCTCATAAACAGGAGAGACTGGAACTGGCTGCAGAGCAGCATTTCTGCTGCTGGAAAGCTTGGTTGCCATTTCAATTTCTTCTGTGAACTGAAAATAGCAAGAAAAAAAAAAAAGGATTTTGAAGATGTTAATGAATGGTTTCCGTAACCCTGAGGTGCCAGACTCAGCCAGGTGGCCTTGGACACATCCAAGTGCACATCCTTGTCTGTGCACTCCTTGCACAAACAAAGCCAGAACGGCAGGGCTTAGAATCAGCTTCATAACGTTTGGAAAGACTTCTGAGATCGTCATGTCCAACCATCAACCTGTCGAGCTTCTTTGCAAAGCTCCTGGATTCCACGTACTGCCTTCTCTCTCAATAACAATCTTCTTTCATGGGAAAATGGGGGCAATTTCACAACTGCAGATGTTGCATTTTCTGATCGCTCTCTGAGAAAACATCCATTGCAGAGTGCAGAGAGGCCCCCAGGAGAGGCAGCAAGAACCCCGTATGAGATCTGCCCACATCTCTGAGCTCAGTGCCTCTGGAGTGCCTTGAAAGGCTGCACAGAGACTGCCAGCAGCCAGCAGCCAACAAGCCCTTAAAGAGAAGCAGAGCAGCGCAAACTATTTACATTAAATTCACATTTCCACATAAAAGAGGACTTAGTCTCAACCATATTAAAAAGTGGTTTTTATTAGAATCTGTCGTCTAAGCAGGCAGGCAAAAAAAAAAAAAAAAAAGGAAAAAAAAAAAAAAAGCCATTTTCTGAGCTCCCTTGTTTTTATGAGAGCTGGCTGGCGGGTATGAAGCAGCAGCTGATGAGCTTATTGAGCAGGAAGGGAGGCTCGGGCTGTGAAATTCGATGTGTAAATTAGCCTCTTGCAGCACTTGTCTCTGTGCCTGTCACTTCCACCAGTGTCTGTGTCTGTTATAATCCTGCAAGTTCATTTGGTTAAACATTAGTGACATGCAAGGGACAGCAGCCAAAAATAGCGTTGCCTGTAAATGTAACGGCTGCAAACTGTTGAGTGAGAGATCTATCAAACGAACCAAGCATCCAGCAGGAGCACGGACTGGTCTTTTCCTGCTATGGAAAAGTTATTTTTAGCTCGAGTGGCTGCAGCCATTCTTCTTCATTAGCAGCACCTGGGGAGAAAGCAGCATGAAGATGCACCACCTCCCAGCTGGGGCAGTGAGATCTGGGCTGCTGCGTCCCTCTGCCCTCAGCCTGCTGGCAGAGCAGCTCCAGCAGGATGGCTTCGCTGAGCTTTGGAGACACAGCTTTTCCCCCCCGTCGCACCGCCGCAATGTTGTCATGCCAACTCAGGTAATGACAGTGAATACTGAAGTGCTGATCTGGGGCTCCTGGAGCCACTGTCTCCTGGAAGAATTGCTGATGAGCTGATAACCCAGCCAGAACTGAAACATTCAGGGGAGC